GTTCAGAGCCAGAAGCAGGGGCTTAATTTTTTAGCTCCTGTCAGATCATAGCAACAGCAACATAGAAAGGAATGAAAATAAAGGGGGAAACTGCGTTTTTAGTCACATAAAATGTGAGACTATTGAGGCTTAAATATAATTTCTTAAATTGACATTTGGTTGACGAGTTTTGAAGGACAAGGATACAGTTTCTGTGAGTCACGGATTTTGGCTACGTTCACACTGCAGCCTGAAGTGACACAAATCCGATTTTTTTTTGCCCATATGCGACCTGGATCTGATCTTTTCATGGCAGTCTGAACAACACAGATCAGATTTTTTCCAGTGCGGCAAATGGCAACTTGGCTATGTGGTCCTGAATCCGATACGAATCTGATCTTTTCAAATGTGACCTGTGTCTGAACACCAGGTCGCATTTATCCGACCTGAACGGCATTAATACCCGACAAAGGTCTCTATTCTGCGTCTTGCTACGCAGAAGTGGCAAGAAAAACAACAACCATGGCAGAGAGCAGTATTTATGTTTAACCATATCGAAAAGATTGAGTTTTTATGGTTGGAAAAGACCACTAGATGCGCAGCAGTACTACAATCCATGTTTACTTCGTAAACATAGCGCGCGCTAGCCTGTGACGTCATTGCGTCCACTACACATTCGGGACACTTGCGTGGTATGATTGCAGTTCACACAGGAGATCACAAACAAGTCATATATATTTGGAAATATGAAAGGCAACGAAAAAAAAATTTGGATTTCACAAAAAAATCGTAATTGAGCATCAAGGCCTGCAGTGTAAATGTAGCCTTTGATAACCTGTCTTTAAGCGGATGGTGGACTATTCAGGCTCCTAAAACAGGAACAAGGGCTGCTCAGTGGCACAGTGGGTAGCACGGTGGGGGTTCAATTCCCGGCCCGGGGTCTTTCTGCATGGAGTTTGCATGTTCTCCCTAAGCATGTGTGGGTTCTCTCTGGGTACTCTTACTTCCCCCTACAGTTAGATTAATTGACGTCTTTAAATTCTCCTTAGGTGAATGGTTGTTTGTCCTGTTTGTCTCTGTGTTGCCTTGTGATGGACTGGCAACCTGGCTAAAGGGTCTACCCCGCCTCTCGCCCATAGACAGCTGGACCCCACCCCTCGCGACCCCACTTGGGATTAAGCGTGTCAGAAAATGGATGGGTTGAAAACAGGAACATATAAACATAACATCATTATATTAGGCCGAGAACATGCAAATAAGAAACAACACTCACTGGAATCTACTCATTTTATGTATTTTAGAACACTGTTAAAATCTAAATACTAGCCTATAATGTCGCGTTCATCCTGAATGCAGATTTGAATCATGTGGCATTAGCATCTTAGCTTCATGTGAACATAAGACACATGTTGTATTCTTAAATTAAATCAAAGTCTTTTTCTCTCACAAACAGCAAAACCCAAGCAGGGATTTGAATAAACAAGATCCTAGCTCCATTCAAAGAGCATTTATTTAAACGGGCCTCTCCTCTTTTTCCTCATTTCAAGTACACAGCAGCAGACATCTAATGAGGAAGCATCGAAGCCACCTGCGGACCAAAATCGAGTCTGGCGAAGGGACGGTTCCTTTGCGATGCCGAGGGCCTGTCCAGACGTGGGATGGCATCCTGCAAGGGGAACAACTCATCACCATGTCCTGCACTGACAAGATCACCAGGTCAGTTCTGCAGCATAAACTATTTGGTTGGAAACTCTTTAAACATGTGAGTAGGACCCATTAGGGCTACAACCAAGACCTTTTACTATAGTTGTTACAGGAATTCCTGACTAAACTGTATACAGTCATTGTAGGCCTGCTGTTTCTTATTTTATGTCTAATGCACACCTGATGATCAGGGGTGGATTTAGGATATTTGGGGCCCTAGGCAAAAACAGGCTGGGGGCCCTCTGAATTGAGAAGACAATACATAAAACAGACCTGTTATACAGATACAGAAATTTTTATAGAATAGACCTACATTATTTGTTCTACGTTTTGTCCCTCTCTACTTATCCCTTTTTTTGTTGTTTTCCTCACTATGTTTTCTTTTCTCCCTTTTTCTTTTCATATTGGCAATGTGCTCAGCTGACTTTTCATGCTATCTCACAAGGAATGAAAGATTTTTTTCCAATCTCTAAGCCCATTCTAACTTAGCTGATTGCTCCTTCCTGTGTTTCCGAAAAGGCGAAGGCAAAAGTAAATAACCCAGTCCTTCTTTTCACTGTAGACAGGCCATGATCTGCTTATCTGTTCTCCATTTTTTCATTTAGATTAAATAATGGATGCATGAATCATGACAGCAGACAAGATAGAGGAGAGTAGGAGGCGGGGCTACCAATGTACTCGCTCTGGAGAGCAGAGTTTGCTGCTTTTAGATGTTGTTGCCGAAGTCTCCACTGGCAGAAAAAAGTGGTTGGATTTGTTTTCAAATGGTTTGCTGCTGTTTGTTTGGACCTTTCTGAACATGTGCAGCAAATGGACTGATCCAATGTGCTGGACACTGAATTTAATGTTTTTTGGGACATTTAAAAAAATTATTTAACATGAACGCCATGACTCATATGCCATGTTTACTCCCATGTGTACCAGTGTTGTAGAATCACTGCCACTGTGACTCGGATTTTTCGTAGTAACCAAGTGATGTTACTTAATCAATGCTGTCTGCCATAAAGTAGATTTACTCACATCAGCATGTCAGATGCTTGAAACTATAAGTTAAACTGAGGCTCTATCTAATAGAATAGAAATAGAAAATAGAACATCCCTTTATTGTCCCACAATGGGTAAATTCTGGTGTTTACAGCAGCAAAAGAGATTATAGAAAAAATTGTCACACAAATGTGGAACTTTGAAAAATGTCTAAGAATAACATAATATCTATATAACATAATTCCACTAATGATTATTGACCAGGAGGGGCGACTAATAGATCACTTATGTTTTGTCCCTAAATAGAAAGGGACATCACAGGCACATAAATAACATTTATTTTATGAACTATTGACTCAAGACAGTGTGATGATAAAATATAACAAAACTGATTTTCAGGTTACTGCTATATACAAATTCTAAAGGCTATTTTTACTTCACACACAGAACTTTGTTTTGTTTTTTTCATCTTAAATCAGTGAGTCTAAAGGAAAGTTTATTTACAATGGGTTATACTTGGAATACTGGAATATAGATAACTACTCTCTATACTTCTATCCATTTGAAATTATGACAAAATTACAATTTATTTTTTTATATTTTTACACATTGGGGCACTTTGGTAGGTAAATTGGGGCACTTTGGTAGGTAAGTAAGGAAGGAAGGAAGGACAGAAAGACAGACAGGGAGAAAGGAAGGAAAGACGGATAGAAAGACAGGGAGGAAGAAAGACAGAAGAAAGAAAAAAACGTCTTCATTCAATCACCCATGAAATTTCTTTTCCATTTAAGCAAAGAAAGGTAAACCGAGTGACGGAAAGGTTAACTTTATTAGAAGATTACCTTTCTTATAAAGAGCAGAGATTTACTAGACTGGGGTATTTTGAATTAGGCTTTATAAAAGCCAAGCAGAGATTTGTCTGATATTTACCTAATCCATTTCTCTGCGTATGCGTTAAGGAAGCATGCTAGTCAAGGTAGTGCTTGTATTGATTTCCCATATGTGTCTGAATTTAGTAATCCTATTCTAATTAACGAGTGCAGTCTTTGTTTTAACGTCAACTCTTCACTCACTTTTTATGAATTATATGACTAATGGTCGCAGTTTACCCACTTTGTTCTAATGCTATACTTAAGCTTGCATCCAGTTTAACAAGTAGAAGACTGAAAAAGTTTGTTTTTAATTGGACCTTTTTGGTTTTACTGTATCGTTAATAATGAAAAATCTTAGTAAAATAAAATAATAATTTATAGTCCACATTTATAGTCTAGTCATAGTGAATATCATTACTTATCTAGCTAGTTAAAGATAGTTTTTTCCCTATATTAAATATAATTTTGATAACTGAAGTATATATATATGGCCAGAGTTGACTTGCAACAGAGTGAGTTAACGCGTATTTCTTATTTTATGACAATTTTAAGGCCAATTTTATTGTTGTGAGGACCAGTCTACTGGTCCCAGTAAGAAAAGGTTTGCTTGTTGGGTTGTATTAGGAATGTATTGGTAATGGGCTGGGGTGTATAAAGGTAAAAGTGCATGAAGTGAATATATCAGAAAATTATTTTGGTAAAAGTGAAAGTTGCTGATGAGAAAATAACTTATTGTTGTTCCTAATAATTGGTCAAGTAAAAGTACCACTTTTTTTTTCATACAAAGAAGTGAGAAAACAGTTTTTTTTTTTTTTGTCCCTTTACTTCCCTTTGGTAAAAACAATAGAGGCAAAATTTGTTGAAGACCTGAAATAAGATTAACACAAATGGAATGGCTGTGCTGTAAGTTCGGTTGAGGATGAACAAAAACTAAACTGCATTGATTTTAAAATAACTTAGAAGCAAAACAAAAAATTTTACTAAGTTTTTTTCCACTAATAATACAGAATGATTTAGGAGTAACTTGGGTTTATCAGCTTTTAGGTCAATATGTTGAAGAATTGTAACAGTAAAAATAGCTTGCACAGATTTAAGATCTAAAATAACTATTTTAGATTTTAAATCTTTGCAAACAACAATGTGGTGCAATATTGCCACCAACCAGTAAGGAGGTTGGACCAGGACAAATAGAGAGCAGTTCTCTAATGGTTCCACATAATTAAATCCTTTCATTGTAAATATTGATCATACTTTAATTTGTAGAAATGGCTCAATTAATTTGTAGAAATGAGGAATGTTTCAGATTCTAAATGAAGAAGTACAGTTTTTCCAGGCTATAGAGCGCACCTCACTATAAGCTGTGCCCACTATTTTGTTTTTTGAAAAACTGGACATATAAAATCCATACCGGGCTATATATTCAAAAACAACTCAATGCAGCAATTCAGTTGATTATTCCCATTATCATCGCAACCCCACCCCCTGTACAGGAGAGCAGAAGACCCGCCTATTCAGCCAGGCTGACAATTCCCTTTAACAACCCCCTCTTTCAGATGCATAGACAAGTATGGGGCATCACAGGCTAACAGAAGAAGCCAAACGACCCCCAATCCAAAGGGATGGACCCTTTTGTCAGTGTCAATTTGCATGGTTTCAAAACAAAAACAAGGTTTTGATGGGCTACTGTATAAAACCTCAAACTCAACGCTATTCCTGACATTTTGGATTGAAAAAGCTTCCTGGATGGGAAGCAAAACGTCTTCAAACTTGGAAACAAATTCCAGAGGATTGTTTTTTTAACAAATTTTTCGAATACCCGATGGAGAACATCTCCTCAAAAAAATTACTGTAGTAATGTGACAAAGTTAAAGTACTTAGTAACTGTAAACCTCTGATATGCGAGGGGTTAGGGTGAGGATCTGGGTTATGCCTGGGTTAGAAATGAATGGTCAATTTAAAGTCCTCATAAGGATAGCAGCCCATACCGTGTGTGAGTGTTAGAGAAACAGAGAGGAAGAAGCAGGCAGCAGCTAGAAGGCGGGTGAAAGCACGAGGTGAACCCCTCTCCTGTGTAGCCGCTGTTAATTTGACCAATTGGATTCAGTTGGCCAGGGTTGGGGACGGTGTGATTAAATCTACCCAGGTCACCAACAAGGGTGAAAGCAATTACTGGACAAAAAATAGAGTGACGGAGGAGGTAGAGGGGACATCCTGCCTTTTTATCCCTCCCATCCACCCTTTACCCTCCTTCCTGCCAGGAGAAGACGGCAGACGTGCTCCTCTTGCTCCGCAGCTTCCTTTTTTGTTTTAAACGCTGTAAATGATCAGTGGCTGCCGTTAAAGTGAGTGGGTCACCGAGGAGCGGTTTATCAAGGTCAGGAGAGGAGGGCGGAACTGAGAGCAGCTTAGGGCCGCACACTCCCCGCTCTCTGCTGCAGTCTTAAAGTGATCCCCTGGATACTCTTTTTGTCCTCTGTCCCACTCATTGTGCAACCTCCCATTACTTTTTTATTTCCTCACTCCCTTTACTTCCTGCACTTTATTATAGTTGTTCCAGCTTTGACCAAAGGGGATATTAGGATCCTTGCTCTTATCATAAACATCCTCCATGACAGTTATCACCGCCTCGACCGACGATCATCGCTTTGTTGTTTTAAGCGCTGCCCGGCGAAGACGCTTTGCAAATATTTGATTTGAAGGCGACAGCTGGATTTAATTGAGGGGCCTAAATGGCTTTCATATAACGATGATGTTCTCAATTTCACTGCAGTTTTATGCAGATGAACACATTACTTTAATGGGTCGGCATTTACTGGAGGAGAGAGGAAAGGATGGATGCGGAGAGGGAAGGAAAAAGGTCTCTTCCCGAGCCAGATGGCTGTCTTTTCTTGCATGAGATTAGAAGATGTCTCCAATTCACGGTGTTGCTTTCGGAGTAAATTAATATTTCAGGCCAAACTTTATCTTTTTTTTTTTTTTTTTTTTTTAAGTCGTCAGTGCACTTAGGATCTGTACGTTTAGGGAGCTGCCTGCTGAACAAAGCTCCTTTTTTTTTTCTGTTTGAGAGGGAAAGGCAGATCTTAGCGACAGATTGTAGGTAAAGCGGATGCAGGCATGCAGCCGTTTAGTGATTCCCAGAAAGCCGTTGATGTTAATTGACTGCTTGGGAAGCAAAAGTATCTGTAATGAGTGATTATTAAGCCAGCAAATGTTGGGGAGGGAAGGAGGAAAAAAAAGAGAAAAGACAAGCAGGCGCTATAATTGCTTTCAAGAAAAAATACATCGATGAACAAAAAGAACAATGATGTAAATATTAGAAGCATAATGTAAGAAGCTCAGGTAAACAGCACATCTACCCGGATAAATGCCAGGAACGGTAATAAACTAATTATCATTTTTCACCCTCAAATTGACATCTATTGGTTAAATAGAGGGGTTTTTCCACGCTAGGTGGCACATGACCAGCTGGCTGCAGAGCTTTGTGTCAGTGCGGCAGGTAGGATTATCCCCGCAGCGATTTTGAGGCTTCCTAAGCAAACCTGAAGGTGATTGGCCCTCACACTGAGCAATCAACGTAACTCTCCTGCAGTGCATTAACCTCCGTGGCACTGATGAATGCACACATGGTAATGTGTTGCTCCATGTAATGTGTGCTGATGTACTGACCTTTGGCTGTGTTGTTGTTGCCGATGATGGTTCGTATCTGAGGGAAGAGGATGTGTGTGTTTTTGTAAGTGTTAGTGCTGACGACCCAGTGGCTGTGATTCATCACGTCCCACATCAAGATAATGATCAAATTGTCTCTACCTGTCACTGAAGCTCTCACATCAGTCTGTCTGTCTTTTTCCACCAGCCAGTCCTATCTCTCCTCCTGACTAGGCCTCATCTTTCTTTTTTTCCCCCTCCCTGTCTTTCTGCTTCCCTGTCTCTCAGGTGGAACATCTTGGGCCTACAGGGGGCCTTGCTGAGCCACTTTGTGGAGCCTGTGTACCTGCACAGCATTACCGTCGGCAGCCTGCGCCACACGGGCCATCTGTGCCGAGTTCTGAACCAGCGGCAGGAACGCCTGGGCCCTCTGCCCACCACATACAGACGCAGCCAACCCCTACTTAGTGGTATGGCTCACTTTTATTTGACCTCTCTTTTGAATCTGCTTAGAAGCAGGCTATGCTTTTGTTAAAAACAACATTTTTTATCCTGTTTGCAAAACCACAGACTAGTTCTAAATGTCATCTCAAGGCACTTTGCAATTCATCGGATCATACAGTCAAATTAATTCACAGTTTTCTATTTAAGAAAAAACCAGTTGATTGCGTCGACTTATTGACTTGAAGGCAATCCGTCACACTAAGACACTAAGCATGCTTGTAGCGACAGTGGGGAGGAAAAACACCCTTTTAACGGGAAGAAACCTCCAGCAGAACCAGGCTCAGTGTGAGCGGCCATCTGCCAAGGCCGACTGGGGTTCAAGGAGACAGAAACAGAGATACAGAGAAAAGCAGAGATACCAAAGGCAACTATAAAAGGCGGCCCCGTCCAGGAAACACACAGCCAGGCAGAAGAGCTCCAAGCCAGCTCCCATGTCAGAGGATGAAGAGAGCACATCCAGACAGTCACAGTCAGGCCAATCTCCAACATCTATAAACAAAGGTGTTG